CCCACTGAATGAAAAACTTCAAAGAACTAGAATGTTGCTAAAAAAATTAACATTCTAGGTCAAAGTAAAATACCAAATAGGATTATTTATTATCAAGAAAGGTAGTGAAGTTTAGATAAATGAATAAGAAACTAGAGCACCAGTGAAAGCTAGCTAAATTTTTTTAAAAGAATAACCCTATATTAAAATCATTAAATCCATAATCAAAACTTAAAAGATGAATGCTTTAACACTGATAAAATAATTTTGAAAAATAGGAACTAAACTCATTGAGAATTCAAACTGAGAATGTGTGAGAGACACTGTAAATAAAGGGGAGTCTCCTGGTTTTGATGCATTCAAAGCTATGTGTCTTCTTGGTGTCATTTTTACTTACCTTGATGTTTTGGACCTCTGCCTTGCTTGTGAATCTATACTCAGTCTAATCTGTATTATTGAAAACAGGTTATCTTCACTCTATTTCTAGTATTGACAAGTCTAAGAAATAACTTTGGCTGCCTTCCTAAATTTCTTGCCTACAAGTCAGAACTAAATAAACTAATCGATGTCATACCATAGAAAGATAGTGGCAAGTTTACTCACGCTATTTTATAGCATTAGCTAATGTTGGCTTGGTCTAGAATGCTACAGATAGAAAGTGCCTGGAGATAGAGTGTCTTTCTGATTTTGTAAGGAAGGAAATTCAAGCCTCCAAAGTCATGCAACCTGAGCACAGTGACAGAAGTGTAAGCAGGGTTCTGACTTCCAGGCTACTAGCATGCTGTTTTTACACCCACAAAAAAAGAAAGAAAAAGTAAGATATGGGTCTGATGTTAGAAACTCAGAGACAGAGATGCATGAATCATGAAGGAAATGGTTTCTTTTGGGAAATACTGTGAGCAGAATTTTCCCAGCTAAATAGCAAATGTACAAGTGAGTGCAGACACTCTATAGAACCTTCAATGAGAAAAGCTCATTATCACTCAGGTGGCATCTCCTTGAAGACATCTCTCAGGGAAGTTTTCTAAAATTAGAAAATCCCATCCAGCTACAACTAACTGAAACCACAGGGAGGAAACTCAGGAATGAGAGGCTGAAAACGTTGCTAAATGAACGAATGATGAGCACTCTCAACCCCAGAGCCATATACCCCACTGCACTGCCGGACACTGAAGGACCACCTCACTCTGCTCACAGCTGCAGAATCCACTCCCACTGCTGCCAGCCTAGGCTCTAGCGTAAATACCCATTAGTTCTTTTTATTGGTGCTGCTGCTGGGGATCAACTCAGGGCCCTGTGCACGCTAAGCAGGCCCTCTACCACTGAGCTAGAGACAACCACCGGTAATTTCTTATAAAATCATGAAAGATTATTCAACCAGTACAGAGACACAACAGTATGTGGACTACATACTGGAAGTTTTATAATAATAAATATTACTAATAGAGAATTCCATGTGTAATTTCCTCAAAAACATGCAATTGTAAGATGGGTTAAACAAGACCAAAAGAGGACAAATGCTTTGAAGGGATGGGCAATGCTGTGGTAAAATCAGCAAACACTAACTGCTCAATTGTCTGAAACTGACAATAACCCTGCATTTCACCTTGCTCACAGGCCAGGCAGGAGCTGGAAGGGAACCAAATGTGAAGACCAAGAAGCAGGACAGACAGCCCTTCCAGGAGATGTTGAGACAAGTTACAGTACACAAGAATCAACTTAAGCTTCTTCCTTTAATTTAGATACTTTCCCCCCAACATCAAAAAGCGTCAGATTTTAGTGACTTAGAGGAAAGCTCCCTCTCTCTAGGTTTTTCACACTTGAACATCTTCACAGTCAAACAAAGAAATGGAACATGAAAGCCATCTGTACCTCCCAAGAACAAGTAACTCAAAACAACGGAATTCAAACTTCATCAGAGGTGATTAAGCAATTCCTTTCTTTGCATAAGAAGCCCACATATGCTGGGCTTCTAGCAGACACCACTTAAACTAAGATTAGAAAACTCCAATTGATGTTATACACAATTAAATAAAATTAACAAAAAGTGTATCTGCATGCAAGCACAGAGGCCACAGGGCGATGGCAGGAAATTTTCCTCAGTCACTTCTCCACTTTGTTGCTCACTGGACCTAGTGTTCACTAACTGGCTAGACTAGTTGGCTTGTGAGCCCCAAGAATCTGCTTGTCTGATGTTTCCGCCACCCTGGCATGGGGCTTCAGGTGCTTCACCACACCTGGCTTTTTTTTTTTTTTTTTTTTTTTTTTTTTTTTTTTTGCAAGGGTAAAGGGTTGGTGAGACACAGTCTCTCTGGTAGTCCAGGCTATTTTGGAACTTGCTTTGTAGACCAGGCTAGCCTCAAACTCAGAGATCCACCTGCCTGTGTCTCCTGAGTGCTGGGACTAAAGGTGTACACCATCATGTCCAGCCTTTTCCTTTTTTTATTTTATTTATGTTTTTGGTTTTCTACACCTGACTTTTTATGTGGGTGCTTGTAGTAGAATATTATTTTAAGGTGTGTTACTTTTGTTCATGTTGCATTTGTTTAACTCTGTAAAGTTGTGTTACTGTGCCTGTGTAAAACACCTGATGGTCTAATAAAGAACTGGTCAATAGCAAGGCAGGAAAAAGGAAAGGCGGGTCTGGCAGGTAGAGATTATATATAGAAGGAGAAAACTGGGAGGAGAGATCTAAGATTTAGGAGCCAGAGAAGGGGTGGGTGTCAGGGGCCAGCAACCCAGCCACACAAGCAGCAAGGCATGGAGTAAGTGTAAGATTTACAGAAATAAGAGAATGGGAAAAGCCCAGAGGCAAAAGTTAGACAGGTGAATTTAAGGAAAGCTCACTAGAAACTAAGCCAAGCAAAGGCCGGGCATTCAGAAGTAAGAATAAAGCTCTGTGTGTGATTTATTTTGTAGCTGGGTGGTGGGCCTCCCAAAGAGACAACAACAGGTGCTGGAGACCTGAACTCAGGTCCCGGAATTTGTACTGCAAAAACCTTAGCCCACGGACCCATCTCCCCAGCTCTCATCTTTTGTTTTTAAAAATTATTTTAATTAAGTATTGTGGTGGTTTGAAAGAAAACGGGCCCCAAAGGGAGTGGCACTATTAGGAAGTGTGGCCTTGTTGGAGGAAGTGTGTCACTGTGGGGTGAGCTCTGAGGTCTCACATATGCTCAGACTATGCCAGTGACACAGTTCACTCCTGTTGCCTGCAAGTCAAGATGTAGAACTCTCAGCTCCTTCTCCAGCACCATGTCTGCCTGCATGCTGCCATGTCCCCACCATGATGATAATAAACTAAACCTCTGAAACTGTAAGCACCCAAATTAAAGTTTCCTTTTATAAAAGTTGCTGTGGTCATGGTGTCTCTTCACAGCAACAGAAACCCTAACTAAGACAACTATTATTTTTATTAAAAATTTTTGATTACATTTTACTTGTTTGTGAGTGTGCTGCATGCATAACCCTTTGTTAGATGTGGAAGTCAGAAGATAATCCATGGAATTTGGTTCTCTCTGACCACGTGGGTTATAGGAGTTAAATTCAGGTTGTCAGACTTGGTGGAAAGTGCACTCACCCACTGAGTTACTGGACTGGCCCTTATCTTGGTTTTTTAAGAATCCCCAAAGCAGGAGTTAACTGTTTCTGAGATGACTGAATGCTTACATCAATTTTTACTCTCAGTTAAGTTACTACATTGTCTGCTATTTTAGTGTTTCAGAATAATGAAAAATAAAACCTTAGCACAATAGATGTCTTTATTTTATGTGTGCACACATTTGTGTGTGTGAATGCGGGTGTGTATGAGCTATGGTGTGCATGTAGAGGTCAGAGAACAACTTCAGGCTTGAGATGGAGTCTGTTTGTCCACTGCACTAGGCAGGCTGGCGGTGCATGGGATTCCAGACAGTCTCCCGTCTCTGCCTCCCATTACCCTTCAGGAGCTGGGGTTACTAATCTTCATGCTCTGCAATGGGCTTTTATGTGTGGTCAGGGGATTTGAACCTGGGTCATCATACTTGCTCAATAAGCTCTTTAACTCTCAGCCCATAATTATATCTTATTGAGTATTTCCTGATTCTTTTGATAAATTATTTCTATAAAGTTTCATTCATTAAAAATTATTTTATTTGATTGGCCTTGAATGAATACACTAATTTCTATTTACATTCCAGATCTAATGAATGCTCAAACCAATTTGCATTTCTTGATTATTCAATCTGCATACTTTTTAAGTAGCACAGAGTTGAAACAATATTTACTTATCTGCTTCATGTCTCAAATGTTCCCACTAGGAATCTATTAAGGGAATCACAAATAGATAAGACTCAGAGCTGGTTGTGTGGTGCATGTCTCTAAGCCCAGTTTGAACACTTGGGAGGCAGAGAAGGTAGAAGGGTAGTCGTGAGTTCAAGGCCAGCTTAGACCACAGAGTGGAGATCCTGCTCCAAACAAGTACAAAGCGTCTATAAGGTAACCATTTCTGCACAGTTAAAGTGGTGATTTTTTTGTTGTTGTTTTTTGTCTTTATCTTTATTTCCAGGAGAAGAAAAATACTTCTGAAAGTAGCACAAAGATATATTGAAAATGTCTCTTAGGTCAAGTGCCTATAATTATAACATCATCCATACTGAACCACCCACCCCTGAGAGACCAAGACTACAGATGCAAGGATTATCTTAGGCAGTGCAGGTATCTGGTCACCTCCTTTTCCTTGGGGTTCTCCTTTCTATGTTTGTGTGTTTTGAGACCCTCTCAGGCCTTGCACAGGTCCGTAATGGAGAAGGGCTTACTGATTTCACATCCACGTGTTTCATGTTCTACTGTCCCATCCCCCTCAGCACCACATGCCCCCACTTACCCAACCACCATGTCCTTGGGTCCAGCCACCACAGTGCAGATCCCATCCTCACAGTGTTTCCCCACCAGGCTGTGGGCGTGCAGGTGGATATTTTTTCCATTTGTGACCAACTGAACAATAACCTTTGCAGGTCCCACATAGTTGCAAATCTACATGAGAAGCACATTTTAAACAGTCAGTATATTTGACCTTATTGTAAAATGGAACCAGTGAGCATAAATACAATATAACATTTTGCAAATGTATACACACACGTGACTATAGCTCAACTTGAAATACAGTATGAACACATGACAGGTTGAACATAAATCAAAATGTTAGTGGGAGTTGTTTTATGCAGTAAGACTGTATATCCAGGAAGCGAGTCACTGAAACACAGTATGCATCATCAGACTGGACTAACATACGAGTCCTTAAGTAGTCCCTCCTTACTAAATAACACTGTGTTTTTTTTGTATCCTTGTCACAGTTTTTGAAGACAAAAACTGGGAAAGCTGTGCATGAGAGAATGGATGACTGATCACATAAGGGGAGTGGACACAAGAGTGTATCCCAACTCCTTGCCACGGAATTAAGCCAGGAAGGAAATTGTTCAGGGACTGGGCTCTGAAGGCTGGTTTTAACTATACAAACCCAGGGCTTGGCCCACAGTCACCTAATAGGACACCCAACTAGCCTTCAATAGTTTCCTCAGCCATGGACTCTGTCACTCACACTGTACGTGTTCAGACCTCTCAAGTTCTTGAAAGAGCACTCTCCCTAACTGAGAAGTCTTGGGTTCACCTCTGGTTGTTCAGCTCTGATTTTACATAGTTCAGTTTTCCATATAAGGTCATTTTTTACTTGTGCATCTTTAACATGATGAGAGCAGCAAAGAAGAGGAAATAATAGAAGAGACCAGGCATTCTTTTTTGTCTAGTTGATCATGCAGACTTCCACAGCACAGATCCTTTCCCCCAAGAAGACCCAACATGAAAATCACACCAATACAAAAGCTCGGTGGCATCATTTTCCCCTTCTGAATTCTATTAAGTCGGAAGCTGTCACAAATCCCACCTATTGTTGGAAATGCACGGCATCTCTGGAAGTCCTTCCGACATAAACATGAAGCGCCTGCATCTGCTAATGCAGCTTCTTGTAAAGACACACAGCCTTCCTCAGTCAGCTTACTTCTAATATCACCATCAACTGGGTCTGGACTCCACTAAGGCAGGGCTCTGTAGAACTTTTTCTCAGTATGGATTTCCCCCAATGGAACCTTTGATTGTCAGAGCTGAGATGTTGATTGCTGCTGCTATTATTCCCCAGAGGCTACGGAGAAGAGATGCTGTAGCTCTGAACAATGGTCTGCCCTCTAACCAGCAAGGCAGCTGCCCTAGACTCCTCAAAGGCCTCCCTGACTGAGCCCTGATGCAGCATTATAATGGTTTGCTTCTGAATCCACCCCAACACTCATGAGATGTTTTGGGCCTATAAACTTAATCCAGTTATGGTGTCTAGAAGTGGATCTGTAGGAGGTAAAGTCAAATATGTCATAAGGGCCAGTCCCTCATCCAATGGAGCCATGACTTACACAAAGAGGAAGAGATACTTAAGTCAGGCTGGCCTATTTTGTTATGTAATTTCCTGTCTTGTTCTGGGACTGCAGAGAGTTCCCACCAGATATGGCTGCCCAATCTGAAGCTTCCCAGCCTTCGAACCATGGGCCAAATGCACTTTAATTCTGTGCAAATTGCTTGTCAGCTATGGCAACATGAAATAGATCCAGACATGCTCCTTCCCCAGGGGCCAGGCTATCTATGGGACTGCCTTCCCACAGCTGTAGAGCAAGCTAATTCAAAGGAAGCTCTGCACTAGCTTTAGCCCTCACTACCCCAAAGCATGGACCAATTTCTTCGGCACAGCACTTCAAGATCTCAAAGGGAATTTGGCAAGTGGTCTTTCCTAACAGGCCAAAGGCCGTCCCATTTAAGTGTAGGACAAAGAATAAAAAGTCTGGGTTTGTTCCGAGGGTGACTGTTACCCCTCCACAGTCCCTGAATTGCTGATGCCAGCTCTGGGTGATCGTATCTGAACTCGATCTGCTAATGATCAACAGAGGAGCACTAAGTAAAACAAGTGATTTTACTTTTCACTGACACTGTGCACAGGAATGAAGCAGAGCAAGGCTGGAGGAAGCGCTTCACTTGGGTGAAATCAGGCTAGCTTTCCACTTAGGCAGAACGAGCTCAGCCAGGAAGGCCAGTCACTTTGGCCTCTGAACTGTCTGATGCTACCGTGATGGGGTAGTCAGTCACTGGCGCTGACAGAGAGCTGGGAGGTGTGTTCATTTGTTTTTCTCACTATTGACTTCATGGTGGACGGCAAGAATGAGGAACTGGGAAGACTGTGAGGTAAGGAACCTGAAAGATCTGCCAGTGACTAATGTGCTGTTTGATCCTTCTGAAAGAGTCTAAGTCAGGATGGCATCATTTGGTTTTTACACAGACCACAGAATAAGAAGAGGGAGGTCCCTGTGCTTTCTGTACTTTCCAAGATACTGTCAGAGGGAGAGGGAGGGAGGGGGAGGGGGAGAGGGAGGGAGGGGGAGGGGGAGAGGGAGGGAGGGGGAGGGGGAGAGGGAGGGAAGGGGAGGGGGAGAGGGAGGGAGACAGAAAGAGAGTGAGAGTGAGAGAGAGAGAGAGAGAGAGAGAGAGAGAGAGAGAGAGAGAGAGAGAGAGAGCGAGCGAGCCTGAAGTGTGGGGACAGCAGACCTTGACATGACAACTTGGGAGAACCATCGTTTATGATGCCATGGTGACCAAGAGGTGTTCGCTAAGAGTTTAGAAATTTATTCTACGAAGACAATGAAAATATTAAATTCTCCACAGAACAGTCTCTTGAAAATAAAGTTTACAGAGGGCAACTGTATCTGTTAGCAAGGTCTTTCTGAGAGTCTGACCGTATTCTTAAATACATGGTAGGCATTCAACCACAGGCAGGGAGACAAAGGTGCCGCCCTGCCTGGTCAGCTGCTCAGGAGAATGGGAAGAGCGTGGACTTCAGGGACAGGCTGGCTGGGTCCGGGACAGTCCACACTCAAGGCTGTGTGACCTTGCTTGGTCTCCTTATCTGGACAGTGGATAATAATGCTCAAGGAGCTGTGGTGAGGAATACATGCATTAAAGCTTGCAAGTCCTCCCGGCAGTGTGTAGCAGATGACAGAAAAGGGCCATCTTAGTCATTCATTATGTTGACACTCCTCTACTTATGGGGCCTGGAATATTAGCTGACCAGGATGACCTTGAAAACATCCGAGGGAAGCGAGTGGCTAGAAAATACGAGGTTCACTTCTCCTCCTAGGAGAAGTCTTTTCCTACATTGCTGTGTTTTATTTTTCTAGAAAATACTATGCTGTTCTAGTGGCAGCTGCCATTCTTGGGGACAACCAGACTTCTTGACCTCCCAGACAAAACTGAAGATCATTCTAGAAGTTCTGGGTCCACAGGTCAGAGCTGCTTTTGGAACTAGAAGCCATGGGCTCAGGTATGTTCATCTTAGTCAACCATGCACTTTGACCTAAAATAACCCGCCCAACCGTGGAAAAGCACATGCTGCTTCTTCAAAGGGGTTAGAAGAGCCCAGTGGTCTAGAGTTGTTTTAGAACCAGAGTTTTAAAAGTCCAGTTTGCTCTCTGGGTAAATCTGGTGAAAGCACTTTGACAGAAAGTAGAAGCAGCATGAATGTAAGACATCACACATAAAATCATTCTTTTCTGCTTAGATTTTCTTTCACGATGATGATGGTGGTGATTATGAATGGGAAAGGGAACATCCTCAGTGTCCCAACACTGCTTGTGAACCTGACTTTACTCTCTACCACACAAAATGGCATGGTTAAGAGCTCTGAAAGTCAGGTTCAAATCCCCCAGCTAGCTGCTGGTGAGTGACACTTAACATTCCCGAGTGTCAGCTTCTCCACCTTTAAAATCCAACCAAAACCACACGATCACAGGATTGCTTTAAGATTAAATGAGTGAATACAACACTTGGTGCCCACGGGATCACCAACCCCACATATAAACTGTCTCCTATCTAGTCCATCATTTCACTGAGAGCTGAAGTTCACCAGTTTCTTGAGTGCACGTTTGTAAAGCCCCTGAGGGTTCCACACTGTAGGTCAGGGAGTGCAGGCTGCACTTTGCTCCGAACAAGCCCGATCCTCCACTCTCACAGGGATTAAACATCGGGGCAGACACTAATCCATGTAAACCTAACTGGAGAACTCATCAGAAGGAATTTCTAATAGGGTTTTGACATGATCAGGAAGTGAGAGATCCTTCCAGCACAACTAACGAGGACCGAGATCTACAGGTAGAGTGTAGCAGAGGGCAGGTGGAGGACAGGCAGTTTGGCAGGCATCCTTGGCTGGTGGAGAGCATGCACAGTGCTTTCACAGTCCTCCCGACCCCCGGCCTGCCTTGCTCATTCCACCCCAGAGGCATTCCTTCAACAGTTCCACCAACAGTCATGTCTCTTCTCTTTCCCTCTGAGAATGGTACCCATTCTTTAAGAGAAGACCTAACCCCAAATCTTCCATAACACCTTCCTCATGATGTTAGCCTGTCAAGGTTCCACTGCTGTCCTTGTTTTGAAAATGATTGGAGGGCACAGGGTGGGGACATGATATGTAACTGGCGAGTAAGTGTTAACAAGGTCTTATTTCGCTTGCTTGTTAATTTCTCAGAGTCCGTGTATATCTGCTTCCTAACCTCTATCTATCCAAGGGGAGGGAGCAATCCCCACAACAGCCATGTGGGGTCAGTAGTGGTACCCCATGCCACTAGGGAAGAGCCCAGAGTGGGCAAGCTGAAGTGCAGGGCCTGGTTCCTATGACTGGAGTAACTGGGCAGTTCCCTGAACTGCGGTCTTCCCCCACCCCCACGCCGATTCACATTTCCACTGCACCGCGTCACCACCTGGCTCAGTGACTTTCCTCTGTGTCTAACTTCCTTTAGTGCTCTATGGCTCTGTGTGCCTATCAGCACACGCACATGGCAGTTACAGAAACGCCTGCTCACTGGCACTGCTGATGTGGATTGTGAGAAAGGCCTCAGAGCCAGGCGTGAGAAGAAGGATCAAAAGTTTTCTTGTCTTCCTGCAAGTCTCTTCCATTTAAAGAAAAAAAAATTCTACAGCTATCATTAAACAATGACACTTACTCTTCCCCATGGAAGTCAAATTATAAAGAGGGAGAGAATGAGGGAGGGAGGGGGGAGGAGAGAGAGAGAATAGGAGATTATTTTGAAAATATATACCCTCCCAAGGAGGACAGGTAGTCAGTTTACTATTCTCTATTATTTATTTGTGTAACCAGAAAGCAGAGATCAAAGCTCGCTAAATGAGATCACGGCTCCCGGCACAGAAAGCGCTAAGTCGGTCTCTTCTCGCTCAGACAGGGGATGCTGAGTGGATCTAATCAGGATTGAACCCCAGCTCTGCCTCCTCTCAACTCTGCAATCTTACATGAATTGGGTGACTTCTGAAGCTCATGCTCTGTGTCTACAATTGTGGGCAGCCTGTTACGTGGCCTGCACAGTGTCTGGCACCAGGAAGTTTTTTTCTCTCCTTCCTCCTTATCTGTGGAGATCATCTGGGTCTCCTGATGACCCTGAGATAGGCAGGGCTGGCACTAGTAGCACCATCTTGCAGATAAAAAAACAAGTTTAGACAGACTGAACAACAGGTGATGTAACCTTCTGAGAGAGGGCCAAGATGCAGAGCACTGTGGAATTCATTCTTAGCCCTGAGTATTGGTGTGGTATTGTAAGCAGGGGATGGGACGCATGAAAACCTCTTTGATTCACTCACTGCTAATGGCACACTTGTTTCTCTAGCGGAATTCAATGATTTGTACTATTCCCAACACTCCCTACTACAGTGACCAACAGCACATGTAGCTCAAGACTCAGGCCGGGACTACAATGCAAACCACCACTCAGATAGGAGGGTCTCCCCCAGAGCAGGCAGATAACACCTCTACTGCATACACCCCTGCTTGAGAGTGGGTTAGACCTCTACTGCATACACCCCTGCTTGAGAGTGGGTTAGACCTCTACTGCATACACCTCTGCTTGAGAGTGGGTTAGACCTCTACTGCATACACCCCTGCTTGAGAGTGGGTTAGACCTCTACTGCATACACCTCTGCTTGAGAGTGGGTTAGACCTCTACTGCATACACCTCTGCTTGAGAGTGAGTTAGACCTCTCCCTGCATACACCCCTGCTCTGAGAGTGGGTTAGACCTCTCCCTGCATACACCCCTGCTCTGAGAGTGGGTTAGACCTCTCTCTGCATACACCCCTGCTCTGTCTGAGAGTGGGTAACATCTCTCCCTGCATACATCCCTGCTCTGAGAGTGGGTAACACCTCTACTGCATACACCCCTGCTCTGAGAGTAGGTAACACCTCTACTGCATACACCCCTGCTCTGAGAGTTTCATGTCATCATACCTTGACCCTGGGCCTTCCTTTTTTCCTTTTGGTTTTCTTTTAATTTTCAATTTTATCACATAAGATGTAAATATCTAGCGGTCAGGCTTCCCTCAGCACCTCAGGTGCAGGGAAGTCGTGATGCTTTGGTAACATGTGACAAATCCTCACCTTTTGTGACTTAGTAATCCATGATTGCAAAAGAACATAGGAATGCAGCTTGTGTTTTCTGGATAAACGGTGCTAGGAATATTCACTTCTGCCAGCTTCTGCCAGTTGAGTGCATTTTAAACAGAAAACCAAGTGTATAAATAGTGCTCACTAGAAACATTTCTGTTTATTATTTTACTCTTCTTACTATACTATATGCTTTGTCAATTCTTCTTTTGAAGAAATTAGAATATAAATAATATCAAGCCAGATTGTCAAAAGAAACCCTCCATACAACCAGTCTTCAGCATCTCCAGGGCTACTCCTTGGCTGTGAACCCGCCCCCTCAGGACAACCAGTCCTCAGCATCTCCAGGGCTTCTCCTTGGCTGTGAGCCTGGCCCCCGTTGAGGATCTATGCTGAGGGGTTTTGTTCAAGTCCAGTCATGCTAAGTCTCATCATTCCTCTGCTCAAAATTCCAAAAGTAAAAATGGTTGAAACTGAGTGATTAGCACAAGGGGCTCATTATATAATTCCGTGTTTACATGATCACAATTTTCCATGTTAAAAAACCAAAACCAAACAAACCATTTTAGTATCTCTCTATTCTCAAAAAGCCTTTACAGCAGTTGAGGAGGCCCCAGGGCTGGGGAATCTGCTCCTCCTTTCCTCTTGGATCTTGTTTCTTGTAGTTCCAATGCAGCCACATGAGACTCTGCTGTTCTGGAACTTCCCAGGTAAGCTCCTACCAGAGAGCTTCTGGACTTGTGTACTCTGCTGGGACTCTGTTCAGGATGTCTGCGATCTTCTGTCTACCTCCAGGCTTTGCACACTCTCTTCTTAGACAAGTGTTCTTTGAGTCGTCTTCTACCTAAACTCTTCCCACTCCACCTGCTGTTCCTTTCTCTGCTTCATCTTTTCTCTGTATGTTTATTTAAGTACATGGATGTTTTGTCTTCATGTACATCTGCATACCAGCAAAGGGCACCAGATCCCATGGGACCACAGTTACAGATGGTTGTGAACCAACTGTATTGAACTCTGGACCTCTGGAAGAGCAGCCAGTGCTCTTAACTGCTGAGTCATCTCTCCAGCCCTTTTCTTTATATGTTAACAACCAATAAATATCAACATGTTCCCTATATTAATAATGTCTTATCTTCTCCATTAAAATGGCAGTGGTGCCACTGGGCATTGGTGGCTCACGCTTTTAATCCCAGCACCTGGGAGGCAAAGGCAGGTGGATCTCTATGAGTTCGAGGCCAGCCTGGTCTACAGACTGAGTTCCAGGACAGCCAGTACTACACAAAGAAACCCTGTCTCAAAACCCCTTTACCCCCCAAAAAGAATGGTAAACTATAGGAATAGAAGTATTTCTTTCATTTATCCTTTCTCTTCTCTAGTGCCTGAAATAATTCCTGTTATATTATCTTGTTACTGGGTGCATAACTAACAATTGAGATAGTATTAAAATGTTATTTAGTGAAGACAAATTACTAAAATATTAAGGGTTGTATCAGGTGGGAAGAAAATTAAAGTGGTATTTTTTCTTTTGCCTTAAAAGATGCCTGGATCCTAATACACCCTCTTAACAAGCTCCCTGAGTTAGAATGTGACTATTATATACCAGAGTACAACATTAGCCTGAGCCTGTGCCTGGGGCCCTGGTCTTGTCACTAGACGGGAAGGACTGAAACCTCCAGGAGGTAGGAATCCCAGCAGCTGTGGGAATTGACTCTTTGATCCTCACCACTAGGAAAATCAAGGCAAGGCAACAGCTCCCCTCAAAACCAGGATATTCCTTTGCCTCCCTCTTGTTGCCAGTCTGTTGCTGGCCTGAGGCGGCCTCTCTCCTGTACCTGCCTCACATGCTTCCTGTCCACTTATTTTCTTACTTCCCTCAGACTGGCAGGGTCCACATTTTTGTTCCACCCCAATTTCTCAGCCTCACAACTCCTCAGACTAGAGGATCCTTCTTTGGTGGATGGATGTACCTCCCTCAAAGATCTCATCCTGATGTGAGACAGAGCTGTACCTACAAGACCTCAAACTAATGGACCCTCTTACAGCAGGAACACAGGCATTGGGGTCAGACAGACTGGCTCTGAATCTTAGACCCTTCATTACCAGACCCTGGGAAAGTTATTTGACTTCTGACTTCTTTTCATATGAAAAATGTGAACATGAAAACATAATCTCTAGGTTTTCACAAGGATTAAAAGAGATCATTTAAATAGCTTAGGACAGTTCTTGATGCAAAATAACTCTCCTTTATCTCTTCTTGCCCTCACAGATATCTGCTGCTGGGATTTCCTGTGACTTAATGAGAAGCCTCCACAGGCAAGCTCTTCCAGAAACATCTTTCTCCTTTCTGTCACTGAAGCTCAAGACTGGTCACTAATTCAGAGAACTGTGTCTGTTCCTTTTTCCAGGAACAATGGTCTTGTTCTTACCCTTAACATTTATTCTAGAATCCCCTGAATTACTCTCCACCTGTACAAGGATCTAAAGGACCCTTCCCTTAGTTCCGGACACACACCCTTTTCTTCCTTATTCTAAAAACAGCAGCCCTTTCTTGATGATGGGAAGTACAAAGGCCATCACATACTCAAACACATACAGCCTGATGCTACTCCAAGAAAGCAGAACCATTGCTTTTCATTTGATGTTTTCTCTAAGCCGGTGAGAGAGGTTCTTAAGACTCTACTCACACTTGCTCACATGCCGGTCTCTGCACCAATTGTTCAAGAACGTCTCTAGTTATCAAGCAGAACCTCAAATTGAAGCCTTCTGAAACTTAACTAATTCTACTAGTCTTCAAATAAAACATGCTTAAAGGTTGTGACTGACTTCATGTTTCCAGACCCACTAGTCACTTATTGTTTACCCCACTGATGACTCCTGAAGCACAGTCCCTCTTCTGACCTCCCTTCTCCCACATCACTGATGGCTTCTCCCCACCCTCCACCTCCCCCGCCACCCCACCAACCAGGAGCGGTCTCAGCAATGGTCCTTGGTTCTTAGTCTCTGGTCTCCGATATTCATCCACTATGGGTTGAATTATCTACTCCATATGATACTAAATTAAAATCTATGGGCTGGAGAGATGGCTTATTGGTAAGAGCTCAGACTGCTCTTGCAGAAGATCTGAATTTGGTTCTTAGTTCCATGTTGGCTTGAGAGGCTCACAACCACCTGTGACTCCAGCACCAGTGTGATCTGGTCTCCTTGGGCACCTGTACTCACGCACAAGTGTGCAAAGCACGCGCTATCTGCACTAATAAACACTTAAACCCCCACCCCCAAGCCAAAACCAATGTTCTCACCACCCTGATGAGCATGTCTGACATTTCTCGCCATTAGCAGGATACCTTGTTGTTTAGAGCAGGTTTACCACTCAATGTCCCCAAGGCTGGACTAATCACCCTCCTTCCCCAACCTACTCTGCCTCCTGTTAAGCAGAGCGACTGTACCCAAACCTTCCTATCATGTGGGAGTGCTCTGCTTCAGTTTCCTCTTATGATCACTTAACTGCCAAATTTCAGTGCAAGGGCTCCCCACTTTGCACTCACCCCTTTTCTCTGTTCTCACTGCCTCAGTTTACCCATCTTAGCTTGAAATCTAAGTCTAACTCAAGAGGAATCACAAAATTCTTCTAACTGCTGTCCCTGGGCCTTTCCATCCTGAGACCCTTTTGCAACAGCTACTAGGTTTATGCTCCTGAAGCACAAGGCTTAATAGTACATGTTTCTACTATAATAAAATTTCTACTGCAGATCCATTTTCTTAAAAACACATACAGTCTAACAATTTGTCTCTATTATTTCTTTCTAAAAAATATTTTCACTTGGTCCCTTTAAGGACACTTCGTTGCAGCAAACTATTCACTATCCCCATCCAACCTGTGGGATTTGTATTTTGAACCTGTTGATTTTTCTACAGGTGCTGTTTTCTCTAGCTAGATAGATGCTTTCAAATGCCTACCTTTAAGATGCCACCCCAATCCTGGACAGGAATCCTCCCATAAACACTCCGAATGGCAGACTCACATAAACCTACCTTACTTTAGAGCCATAAGATCATGTGTGCTTTTATTGAAAAAAAAACAAAAAACAATAAACAATTATATTGAGGCCATTCTTACACAAACTCTAGCCAGTACAGAGCAGCAAGTACTGCCCTCAAGAGGACCTCACCGCATTTCAGAGATGCAGAACCAGTACTTTCTGATTCTGCTTTGTGAAAAGATCTGAATAAGGTAGGAGGGAGTGGATGGTGGTGACCAGCTCCTGGCCCCTTAGGAAAGGATGTCGACAACATCCCAGGATCCCTGACTAAGGACTGCTGGGAAGCGCCCTGTTAGGCAGCCTCATCTCATTAATCTGATTTGGAGGATCTGGAAAGTACTAGTAAAGGTGAGCGCACAAAGCCAACCAGCTTGTGAAACTGTACTATTTCCTTGGCTGGAAACTGAAATTAAGGGCACTAACTTGGCACTGAAATTTCTAAGAGGAATTTTTTTTTTTGAATCCTTGTACTCCTTTAGGCTGTTCTACTTGCAAATATAACTCATCTATTGAGGGACTAGCAGCAGAAATGCTCAAGCAATTTCCTCAAAATTCAACTCTCAGAATTCAACCCTGGGAAATGACATCCTGATTGTGCTAGGGTCTGGCCAAAGTGGCGGCTGGGTGGGACATGATCAGGAGCGGGTTCTAGGTAAAACAGATGAGACTGGGTAGAGGGCAAGCTCTTCTGGGCCATAGGCCTGTGGTTTGGATGCAGCTCCCAAGTCACCATCAGCAAAGCCCAGCAGGGCAGCACAGGAGGCTGGCTTCCCTTGCTCCAGACACAAGGTGCCTTTCTCCCACAAGAGGCCACCCCAGTTTCACACCATTCCTTTATGTTTGCAAGTAAAGGAAAAACATCCTGGAGTACAAAATTCGGAAGCTTTACCCTGTTTTCAACTGTGATTTCAGGATTGAAGAAAACAACAGGGATGCTTATTAAAAGTTTGAATTGTCATTCTCAAATTTACAGAACGTTAAGAAATTTCCATTTTGGTATAAAGAGAGAATGATCCTGCCTATAGCAAAAGCATTTTGAATTTTGTGTCAGGCAGTCTTACCAAAGCTTACCTTTCTCAAAAATATTTAACTCCCTCCCTCCCTCACTACACAACACACACACACACACACACACACACACACACACACACACACACACACACACACGAGTATAAAATTAGGAAGTTTTACTCTGTTTGAGGTAAAAACTGTGTGTGTGTGTGTGTGTGTGTGTGTGTGTGTGTGTGTGTGTGTGTAAGAAAATGGCCAGCAAGACACAAGCATCTATTGCTTTTTCTTATCTATCAGAAGAGCGTAACTTCCCTGTTATACACACACATATATAGTTTGTTTTAAAGGTCTGACTTGGAGTCTACAAATTTTCAGATAAGAACATTTAGATTAATTTTTAGTGCTCTGTAGATGTCTTAGCCCCTAGTAACTTTGTTTGAATCACTAGCCACTTTGGTCTCTTAATGCTTCCTTTGTAAAATTCCTAGCCCACCGCTAACATAGCTTCCAGCTTTAAAATGCTATGGTTCCCTAAACTATATATGTAAGACACACAGGACAATGGTCACCAATCACAAATCTAAAACAAAAGAAAAAAAAAGGATCTGACAACACAGAATTTAAGCTGGAAAGAACCCTTACCAAGTAAACAGCTTTAAAACTGTGAGTATTTTAAATACATTTAACCACAATTACAAACCGAGAAAACATACAATCAACACTCAAATTACCTGTTGCAAGGGGGCCTCTGATAGCATGGAAATCAAGATTTAGAGACAAAGAAAAACCTTTATGTTAGGCAACAATTTCAACTTTTTTCCTCAAGGCTGAGCCTAGGTATTCAAGGTGTTTCTTCTCAGTGACTGGTGAAGGCTCTGCCTTGGGTAGCTCTGTACTGGCACTAATCAACTATTTGTTCTGGGGATGCCAGCAAGGCCTTGGTCATGATGGTGGGGGACACAACAGGCAAACAAAGAGATAATTAGCTACTTTCAACAAATTTTAAAAAATTTGTATAAATTTAAAAACTAAGCAGTCTAAAACACATTAGGCAAAGTAAGTCCAAAACAAAACCTAAATCACTGACCTGTTTATTTCCTAAAACAGATATAACTCATATAAAATTTCCAGCATTATCTTAAAATGATAGTTTAAAATTTATTTTAGTTTTATGTATATAAGTATTTTCCCTGAATATAGGTGTACCATATGTGTGCCTGGTGTTTGCAGAGGCCAGAAGAGGGTGTCAGATCTCCTGGAGTTACAGATGGTTGTGAGCTGTCATGTGAGTGCTGGGAGCTGAACCTGGGTCTTCTATAAGAGCAGCCAAGAGCTCTCAGTTGTCTCTCCAGACTTCCCTTAAAATGATTTTGAGCCTAACCTAATTTGGGATAATTAGGAATATTTTTGATTCTATGATGTCCTAATTTATTTAGGATTAAATATCACTAACTTATTTTTTCTTAGAGGCATATAATCATTCTATGGGTATATATTTCTTAATTTTTTAAAGATTTTATTTTATTTTAAATCATGTATATATGTGTGACTGTGTATGAGTATGTACACAGGGGTGCGGCTACCCATAGAGGCCAGAAGAGTGTGTAGGATCCCTTGGATCTGGAGTTACAGACAGGGGTGAGCTGCCTAATATGGGTGTTGGGAACTGAACCTGGGGCCTCTGCAAGAGCAGTGTGTGTTCTTAACTGCTGAGCCACCTCTCCAGCCTGTCTGGACTTTTCTTGTTCAGAAAACCAACTGTATCACCCCCATAGAAGTCCACTGTAAAGAAGCAATCACGCTTGAACTGATGGGCAGAAGCCAGGGCCCTCATTATGAATACAACTTAGTTTGTTCCATGGTAAATACAGCTGCATTACAAGGGACGTGAGGCCACTGGGAAGAAGGAAAGTAGGAGGAAAGTACGCTAGACAGAGAGCACTTCAGCCCTGCAATTTCCTGTGGAAAGCCCCTACTAAAGAAGGAGAATTACAAGTGAGTAGACTGGGAAATTTTGTTTTACTTCTTGGTGACACTTCGTCGGTCATGTTACGCCCCCAGATAGGAGCATGGCAAAAGAGAAATGACAGTCTGAGTGTCAGACTGAGGTTAACCAAAACAGTGCGTGCTCTGCACAGCATGATGTAAACAAAAGCAGGAAGGGGGAAACACCAACACTTCTCTTGATTTCTAGGATAACATCAGCAAGAGAGCGGAAAAATGGCTTCACTTTATACCTGGTCCTTCTAGACCAAACCAAACCAAATTCTTTCAAGTTGTAACTAAATTGTCTGGCCTGTGTTAATAAACTGACACACAAGTGTAAGGAGTAGCCATGCACTTTGAGCCTTGGAGAAAATGGCCAGCAAGACACTAGCATCTATTGTTTTTTCTTATCTATCAGAAGAGTGCAACTTCCCTGTACCCAAATCTTGATTAGCCCTTGTTATAAAGTTATGATTTATTAAGGAAAAGTCTTTCTAAAGGCATATAAAAAAGAGCCACAGAACCCCCAACTGTAGAGCTCACGTTTGCTCAGCTTCCTCCCTTCCTTCTCTGTACTCTTCCAGGTCAGTTCTGAGCCACTGCAGTGACAACCATTTCACTCTGTCCTATGTCACCTGTGAGTCCCATGAAACCCATGTCTCCTGGGACTCCAACTCATTGCTCCTTATTTTGCCCTCTTGTGACGACAGGGCACATTTTATCTTCTCCCAGGACAGCTATTCCAATACTTGAGGGCTCCCAAGACTAGCCTGTACACTGTAACTATTCCCAGGCTCAGGAACCACTTCTCCTGTGAGGAAGGCTTGAGTACACCCACTTCACTGCTCTCATCTGAACGCACTCACAGGTGACTTCTACTCTCTGCCCAGCAGCTTGCACACATCTCAACAAGGTAGGCGTGAGACTATCACCTCTTGGGGCT